CCCGACGACGACAACTGAGTGGGAAATGACAGAAAAGCTGCTAGACTGGGTTCATTGTTAGTTGTCTGGTTGCGACGCGAACTGCAACTAAACAAGGCCCTTAACTAGACACCAGACACAGCAAAGTTGAGAAAAAGTGCACATGTCGATATATACTCGTATTTATGTATATGTAGAATACGAAAAGCTGTGCAAAATGCAGCCCAATAATAATAATAATGTGTAGTTTCGTTGTAATGTTTTTGGATACATTCCATTCCAAAGATAGAATAAATGATTTGCTTTTAAAAATATTTTGTAAAATGTTTTTTCTTTTTTCCAAATTGCAGTCTATTTTAGAGAAATTTAATTACATAGTGTTTGCCATTTTCCTGATTAGCCCCAGAAGTAACGCAAGCAAAAAAAAAATTATTTTCTGTATCCTTACATGGCCCCCTTTCCCAGCAATATAGCAATAGCAATATCGATATTCTGTTTTCAGTGAGAAATATCGTGCTTCTCAAAATAGCGAATAACGGCAGATATTCTTCTTCTCCTCTCTACTGTTAACAAATCTTTCAACAACGAACCACTTTTTCAAGTTTGGAAAAACGAAACAAATCGAGGGATCTTAGAAAAAATTGGAACTTTAATTTATTGCGATAAAGGATGTGTGAACTGTGCCTTGTCTTCCCCCAAATGCTTTCTATTTCTTTCTCTCTTTTTCTTGCCTTTTGCTAGATTTTTCCTTGACTTTCCCCAAATGCTTTCTTTCTCTTTCTTGCCTTTTAGAAGATTTTTCTCCACCTTTTTTGGAGTCAGTTCTCTCCTTTCAATCCATTGTTTTGACGGTTTTCTCGGCATTACATAGGTGGCTATAAATCGAGACAAAAACTCGGCTTAGTCAGTTTGTTCCAGCGCTCATATTTCTGATCTGAAAATAAACTGTCGATATGGTATTCAGCATTTTCTGGACTTTCTTGGCCATTTCTAGCATTGCCACAAATATTTACTTCCCCAGAACGTATGCACATGTATGGATTTTATTTATTTATTTGAAGGTATTGCGCAACAAAAAGTTAATTTAGATTCCAACTTTTTAGTTTCCTGAACATCACGTTTTCGCGTTCAATAATTGCATCGAATTTATTTATCATTTTATTTATTTATTTTCTTTATTTAAATATTGGAGGAAGTCGTGCTGCCTTATGTGTTAGAAAACCTTTGATCTGATGTGAAAAAATATGTTTTTCTTTGAATCGCGAGCAACAACAAAAAGTCCTGGGCCCAGATTACTCAAGAAAGGTGTCGATTGCTTGATTAATGCAAAGAGAGCATAGAAACAATAATATTCAATAATATTAATTATTAATATTATTTGCAGCCGAACTGATAATAAATAAATAAATATTAACATGTTTCATTAAAAACTTTACTTTTGTATCTTTAAAAACTTGTCCATTATATTTTGAAATACTTGTATGTAGATTGTTTGTTTTTAAGGAAGCATTTAGCAGTTGCTCGGATTGCTGTAGCTGTATACATATGTACATATGTATATCTGTCTCCCTATTTATGTCTATACATATATGTATATGTATGTATGTAGTTAGATAATCTCTCTATAAGTGTGTACTTTGCACTGATTAGGGGGGAGGGGGGCATTTATTGATGATTTAATGAGCTGTCCATGCAGCAGCTCAGCACTCCAGGCGCGTGCACAATTGAGTTTTTAGCGTCAACAAAAAACCAATTTATAAGTTGACAAAATTGCAACAATAAATTGTGGGGGGAAAAAATTACTCATACGCGCACTGCACTCATTGTTGGCGTCGCTGCCAGCGTCACAGTCGCGCTCGCGCTCGCCCTCGCAGTCGCAGTCGATGTTGGCGTTGACGTTGAGCGCAGCAGCATCGCATTCGTCAATTGCATGCGACAACGTAGCTGGCGGCGACTGCAGATGTGTGTGTGTGCGAGTGTTTGAGTGTGTGTGTCTGTTTGTTTGTTTGCTTGTATATCTGTGCTTAAGCTTGCTGCTGAAGTCTGCTCGTATGCGTTTCTAGATTAGTTCATACTTGAGATGACCTTGAAAAAGTTTACTAACATTTCGTATTCTATTTTTTGCTGGCGCTTTCATCTTTTTTTTTTTTTTTGTATTTCTTTTATTTTGCATTCGGCGACTGCTCCTCTTGCTCCTGCTACTCCTCAGTTGCTTCTGCTCTTTGGTATTCTGGTGTGCTTTCTTTCTGGCCATGCAAACACAAAGACTTTGCATACTTGCCGAATAGTTGTTGTTGTTGTTTGTTTTTGGCACCTGATTGGGGCGGTTATTTTGTTACCTGTTTGGTACGCGCAGCTGACGTAAATTGCTTAGAATTGGGAGGTAGCCGAATTGCCCCAAACCGTTAGTTAGCACTTGGCTCATACGCTCCAACAGACCACACGACCACATACATACATACATATGTACATATACTATGTATGTTAGCACTTATTTATGTATGTTTGTATTTTGTATTTATTTTGCTCACGCACACATCGATAGATTGCTGTTATGATTCGCGCCATACGCCATACGCTCCCACAAAATGTCTATGTATTTCTAGGTTATGGTCAAGGCGACGACTACACTAGGCCGATGACGAGCTATGTATATACATACATACGTACATACATACATACATAGAGAGGTGAGCCTAATGTGTGTGCGCATTTGAAGGCTACACCCATACGTAGAACCTCTCAACAAAATTTAAGTTAATGATAATTTCTAGTCATGTCTATATATATACACATATATTTTGACTAGTGCACAGTGGGCCTAAACGCTATTCTCTAATTCACAAATCTAGCAATATTGCCATCATACATACCTGTACTTATACATACATATATGTAAGTATTTATGTGTGTATGTATACATGTTTTCTGAATCATTGTCAACAGTAAAAATAGCCCTCGAACGGGTTTACAAACCGTCTGAGCTTAACAGTAATTTTCAAGTATTGTTAATAAAATCAAGCAATTTCTGCACTCGACACTATCATGTAGAAGATATATTTTCATGGACTTTAGAATTATTACCTCGAGTTAAAAAGTTGTTAAGGTATCTTATAATTAGTTGAGTCTACAAGCCTCCCTAAGTTAGCTGCGATTATTGGATGAAAGGATATTAAAGTTCTTGAATAAAAGTAGTCTTGAAATTTAAAACTATTCCAGTTATTCATTCATGCTCGTAAATTGTAAAGCTTTACAGGGTTATACTTTTTATGTGCCCTATTTATTTATCAGTTATTTTTTATATATATATTTAATATATATATAACATATATATATATATAAGATCCTTTGCTACACTTTTGACCAAATAAAACATAGAACATACTTGTACATACCTTTTGGCAAGATTTTTCGGTTTTCTTTTGTGTAGCATTTTATTTCTATGATTCTCTTGAAATCATGCTTTATATATAAATATATGTATATATAACAGCTTCGATATAGACCACTGTGCAGTGCCATGCGCTGTTTTGTTTATTTGTTAGTCGGGCGCTTTCTTTTGCTGCTTTCATTTGTTTACGCCGTCGAGCATGCCATGTGACGCCCAATCCGAGAATTCTGGACGTACCGCTGACAGAAATTGCTGGACAGCGGGCAGCGGAGTCGGGGCGGGGGGAACCAGCACACTGATAGAACAGAAAGAAAAGGGGAAATCGTACAATTAATAAGTAGAATATAGTATATAGTGCGCAGCTCGCCTAATGCGGTTGATTAGACAGGCGATAAAAGTCTGTTGAACTCTATAACAAACGAGTATATGTATTTACAAATGAAAATGTATATGTGAACTAACTAGCGACTTTTTGATAGGCCGTCCCTCCTAGCCGTAATTCATATTTTTTGCCGTCAGAGTGACCAGATAAGAGGCCATCAAAATAAAATGAATAAAAAAATAATACCAACTGATAATTTTGCAGAGACTACTCGCTTACATAAATATATACTTCCATAGTGCTATAAATAATAATAGTAGGCAGTGTGCGCGTTTTCAAAACAAACAATAATTCAAATACGTCAGCTGGTCGCGCGCCCAGCCAGTGTGTACACATAAGCGAGGGTGAAATAGAGATGACACCAGCATGTGCGCTTTGCCACAGCCTGCCGCAAACTGTTTAGACTACAGTGTAGTTGCCAATTTGTTTTTTTTTCACGTTAAATCTGGTTGTTTTTGAAATAATATTGCGAAAAAAATCGAAATTGCGGGATGCGGGAATCCCAACTTTTTTACGTTTTCTTAATTTGACAACATATATGTAAAGAACTAAATGGATGGCAGCTTTATAATAATTATTTTTTTTTATCAACTTTTGCCAATGACACTTTGTGACTAGTACATTAATATATAATCAATTTTCTTGTCGTACTAGGAACTAATAAACAAAAAGCAAATAAACAAAAATAAACATACACCACCTGTGCCTATTTGTTGCTCAGCATACAACAGTGCAGATTGCAAATTGCAAATTTTGCACTACCTTTTTTGAAGGCGACGTAAATATCATATTAAAAGTTAACAAAGATTATTAAAGAATATAAACATCATAAACAGATTCTTTTCATTCTTAAGAGTTTGCAACACTACTGCAGAAAGTGTATTAATTAGAGAGTAATACCTCTTTTTTTGTTATAAAAACCTGGAAAAAGTGTTTTAAAAATATATTTTCATGACGGGCCCGTCTAAAGCATTATTACTAATTGTTTGCAGCATTTCCTTTTAATAAAAGCAATTCAAAACTGAAATAGAAGACTGATCGGATTCGTATTATCATGCTGGCCTACAATATTTCCAAAAACAATATACCTTACCGATTTTCCGTTATTTGTATCAAATGTTGCATTTATTTTTTGCAGCAAGTTGCTGATGAGAGGAAACCAAACACCGTCGCGTTATCGATAGCACACATCGCGTGCACATCGCATAGACATATCGTTGACTGTCATTGTTATCGGCTCGCGTTGTCGGCACTGTAACAAAATAAATTCAATTCTTTTTCAGATACTGAGCTAACAGATACGTAACAATTGCCATTATTTTGAATAAACTACTTCTGGAGTCTGCGCGAAATTGCAGAGGCATAGCAGCGCTGACTGTGCGGTTGGGTCGAAGCGACAACATGGACGGGTTGGAGGGTGAAGGAGACAGCAGTGTCGAGATGCTAGCCGGCATGGAGAATGACAACAAATCGCGGTCGCCGTCACCGTTGACGCCGACGCCGACGCCGCCGACAGAGTTGCGCTCAAATGGTAAGTTTAAAGAAATACCAGACGCACGAGTGTATTTGGAAAATATGGCGACGTACGACTTACATTAACATTGCAGGAAGAATGAGCATTTCACCGGAATTGGTAGAAGAGACGTGGCGTGGCCTGCCCATCGAGGCCATGCATCGCAACTTGAATGTTTTTGAACTGGATCTCATGACGTCCGTGGAGCCGGGTCCATTGCACTCGGTGCTCCATCATTTTCCGATACGCGTGCCGGATACAATGCCGCCACGTCCCCACAGACGTCCCAGCAAATGGGACTCGCATCATGTGCGCCTGCCCTGCGCACCCCAAAGTCATTATCCGGTCGAGAAGGAGGATGGTACGGCACAAATAGAGTCACGTTGGGAGATGATCGAGAAGGCGCTACTGCGTCCCATCTCGTCCAGCATGGAGCTGCAGGAGGCCATTCTCACCTACAATGCTAAATACAAGCACCAGTGGAACTTTGTGGCACTGCACAAACTCTTTAGCGAGGATCTGGATGAGAGTGAGACGCGTGTCTTCTTCGAAGATCTGTTGCCGCGCATTATACGGCTCGCTCTACGTCTGCCACACCTGATCATGGGACCCATACCATTGCTGACTCAGAATAGAACTTATTCGGTGACGTTCACACAGCAGCAGATCTCGTGCCTGCTGGCCAATGCATTCCTCTGCACCTTTCCGCGTCGCAACACCATGAAGCGCAAGTCCGAGTACAGTAACTTTCCAGATGTTAACTTTAACAGGTGAGTAGAGGGCCTTAGGGGTTTATAAAAGAACTCATAAATCCCAAATTATAGTATCGATATCGAAAAGAACAGAAAAATTGTTAGTACTAGAATAGATTTTTGCACCGATCGTTCCTATGATATAGCCCAGCTATATTCGTTAATTTCTAGCAGTTTATAAAAAGAGCTCATAAATACCAAATTATAGTAGATTACGATATCGAAATGAACATAAAAATGTTTAATACTAGAATAGATTTTTGCACAGATTTAGAGCTTCCTCCTCAGATTATTAAGAGGAACTATACAAAACTTATGACTACAAATCTTGTTTAAAATATCTTCATAAACAGAAAAGTTAACATAGTAAGAGTGATCGGTCCTATGACAGCTATATACTTACACTTATTCTGATAAAGTCTTCCTGCCGAGCTATTATGGTTTACAAGTTCTCGGCGTTCAGACAGACGGACAGATCTGTCATGCTGATCATACATATCCTATAACTTGGGTCCTTCTGGCATTTCTTCAAACTTAAATCTAATTTGTAATTAAAATTTCATAAAACACTCATTTTCATGCCACAAATTCGCATGCAGAAGGAAATATCCTTAATGAACTTGGGATTTCCTTTTTATGATGTTTATCAAATATATAGTATTTGTAAAGTTTCTTGAAAATTCCATAATTCCTTTTCATTATGTGCATCAAAAAAACTTTGTATAGTAGTATTTGTAAGGTTTCTTAAGAGGCTCCTTTCTTAATGGTATATAGATTTCTGATTGAAGGAAAGCGATTTGCAAGCGGTTTGATTTGGCGTTTTACAATTTCCATAATTGTTGTCCCAGGTAGTATTATATATCGACAAGACTTTATAAAAAAAATTAGAAGAAACCTTGGTAAAAACGGTATATTAGGTTTGTCCATAGTATATAACAGGCAGAAGGAAGCATCTCCGACCCAGATCAGAAATCGATCTAGATCCATGCGTCCATCTATCCGTTCGTCTGTCTGGATGAACGTCTGGATTTCAGAAACGGCTAAGCACACATTAACCAAACTTGTAATGTAGACGCTCCTAGCCTCTAGGCTACATAAGTTTAATTTTTTAAAGTTCGCAGTTTTTGCTTCTGCTATGGGCGTAAGTTTTTAGCGTTCTCTCTGGTTTTTTTTTTTCATATTGCATTTATAATGCTTCTCACAAAGTTATGAACTAGCTTGTGTTCTGAATCATCTCTGTAAGCTAACTTTTTTCTCCGCTTTACAGGCTCTATCAGTCCACGAGCCCGGCCGTGCCCGAGAAGCTGAAGTGCATCTTCCATTACTTTCGTCGTGTGTGTCCGACGGATCGGGATGCCCGCAATGTGCCGACTGGCTGTGTAACCTTTATGCGTCGCAGCTTCAAGACATCGGATATGCCGGACTGGGCACACTTTTCCACATCGGTGGGCGCTTTGCCGCTGCACATTGATGCCGCCGGCACCATTGAGGATCAAGGCATTGGACTGCTGCAGGTGGACTTTGCAAACAAGTTTCTGGGTGGCGGAGTGTTGGGGAATGGTTGTGTGCAGGAGGAAATACGTTTTGTAATATGCCCGGAGCTGCTGGTTAGCAAGCTGATTACGGAATGTCTGCGTCCCACCGAGGCCCTCGTTATAATGGGCTGTGAGCGGTATAGTAATTATACGGGCTATGCCGACACATTCGCCTGGGCCGGCAATCACGAGGACGAGACACCGCTGGACAATTCCCGACGCCGTATGACCTGCATTGTGGCAATCGATGCGCTGCGCTTTATGGAACCCGGACATCAGTATCGCGAGGAGTTGTTGATTCGCGAACTGAACAAGGCGTACGTTGGCTTCATGCACACGCCGATGACACCAGCGCCGGGAGTTGCAACAGGGAATTGGGGCTGTGGCGCCTTCGGAGGCGATGCCCGTCTCAAGGCATTGCTGCAGATGATGGTCGCTGCGGTGCACGATCGCCCGCTAGCCTATTATACGTTCGGGAACAAGGAGCTGCGGGACGATGTCTATGCCATGCATCAGCTATTCAAGGAGAGGGATGTGTCTGTGAAGCAGCTATGGCTCTTGCTGCGACGCTACAATCGCTATCGCCATGTGCCCCTCTACTCCTTCATCAAGCACGAGCTGCTGGAACAGTCGGTAAGTGGCGGCCACACAGCATTTATAATATATAATTGTTTAATGGTCTCTCGATATTATTTTCACATTAGTGCAATCGAGATCAGGCATTTGCTGCAGGCAGCGAGCTCACAGCATCGAGAGCAATGCGTAGGTGTGCGGGCCCGCTGTCTAGCAAGTCTTCCGCGTTGGAGGAGAACAGGACAGCAGCTGAGCCGGACAAGGAGAGGGAAGGGAAAAAGGGCGATGATGACGATGACGATTCGTGCACTCAATTCTTTGACACCAATGATGAGGATGAGCAAGAGACGGATGCCATTCTGCTCGCTGCCGCTATGGAGGCTGATGCCGCACATCAAGTCAATGCCACCCCAACGACCACAACAACCTGCGCATCCGCCTCCGCTTCCACCTCGACCATCTTCGTCAATAGCAACGCCAACAGCAGCTGCTCCAGCAGCTCGCCAGCCACTCCAACCAACAGCAATTCGCCGTCGCGGGCTGCCACCAAATGCACCCGTCAACTAACACTCTTGGAAATGTTGGATTCCCACTACGAGCAGGGCACCTCGGTGGGCTCAAAGCGCAAGCGTCAGGGCAAGGATTGCAAGGTTGAGAGAGCTGATGGTGGTGCTGGCGATGACGAGCCAGTCGAGAAGTAAATTATCTCTCTACAAGACAGAAGAAAAAAATGCTCATAACCAGCGTCTGCGAAGCTCTTATGTTGACTGATCTTACGTCGTCTATATATACCCCCTATACACCAGTTAGAAAAAATTTGTTGTTATTGTTCACTTCGCAGTCATTTCTACACACGTATAGTACGTCGGATAGTGCGTACCAAACAAAAAAAAAAGAAGAAAAATAGAACCCTCTATATGAACAGCTCTCCATTTCGTTTCAGCGTTTTCTGCAAATTGTGAAATATTTTTTAGGAAATATTGTTTGAGAAATCTCTGTGCTAAGCATAGTCATGTATTTAATTTTTTTTTTATTTTGTAATTTAAATATTTTTATTTATGATACAACGGACCCCAATTTATAGTATATGTTGTAGTTCTACTAGAAGTTACTTGTTAAAATTGAATGTTAAAGTTCATAGCCAAAGAGCTTTAGAGATGAGAATTGGCAGAAATTGTTGGAGGACCCGTTAAGAAGTAGCTTTACAATTTGTAATACATAGTTATTTGAATAGAATGTAAGCTAACGTATTATACTATTTAAAACCATTATGTTTTTTTCCCTGATTTCTTTGAAAAACAGATACCATATATACCGACCATTTGCTACTTATTTGAAACACTACATAATATACTTTTGTGAAATAGAGATGCGCCCCAAAGAATTGCCTCATTTGGGGACTCATGGAAAAAAACATGTTGCGATTATTTTGATAGTAGAGAGAAACCCCCCGATAAAGATGGAGGATTCAGCTGATATGATCAAATCAGTGGCGAATCCTCATTCGATCAAGGGCCAACTGAAATGTGAATTTTTTACCCTTGCAAAGGATATATGTATTGCGTTTGTTATAAACTTTGTACAAAACAAATAGCGTGATTTCCACTACCCGGGCTGCCCAGGATGTTGCTTCTTCCCAACCAAGCGCCTAGATTGAAAGGTGTTCGTAGTTGCTCTTAAGTTCGGGCTGAAAAAGTGACATTTTAGTGTTTTTTTTTATTTTTTATTTTTTTTGAAGTGAAACTTCTTATGTGAGGGTTTTGAATCCGTCCGGTCGATCCTTAAGTGTCGCTGTTTTTTTGGGGTTTTCATGGGGTTCCAGAAATATTTTTATTGCGAAATAGAACGGCGTTGTCTAAGGCTCTTGAAAGCTGGATCGGCAACCATCGGCGAAGGCGGTTTTTTTCTTTCTATTTTTTAGCTGTTTTTATAGCTATTTATAACGGTGTCCTTTTCCTAGCCCATTTCTAGCGGATTTCCTATCTATTTTTAGTGGGTATATTAGACATTTTCAACGGATTTTCTACCGTTTCTCTAGCTATTTATGATGGTTTTTCTGGCAATTTTCTAGTGGTCATCTAGCTCGATAACGGTGTTCCTAGCCATTTTCTAGTTGTTTTTCTATATATTTTTAGTGGGTATATTAGATATTTTCTCTAGCTATTTATGATGGTTTTTTTCTTGCAATTTTCTAGTGGGTTTTCTAGCGATTCATAGCGGGTTTTAAGCCATTTTCTAGCGGCTATTATTTTCTAGTCTTTCTTTTCAAGCTTCATTTACATTAGTCAGTAATCATTGATGAACAATTATAAGAACTCTGTTGCCCTGACACACACATTTTTTAAGCTCTAGGCTGTGATGGAAGCTCAACAGCAAAACGAAAATCCCTTCCGCAACATTTGTTAGCATACAATTTTATTCAGCCAGTATAGGAGATTCCAAAAAAAAAACAACAACAAAAAGTTGCATAGCATTAGTAATACTTATTATTTGCAGAAGAGTGGAGTAGAGTAGAGCAGAGCAGAGCAGAGCAGCGCACTCGGCTTAGTAGTGGTTGCGGCGCTTGTTCGACGGACAGTACTCGGCGTACTCCTCCCAGGTACAGCCCGCTTTGGTGCAGCACTCGTTGGTGATGGAGGGGGCATCGGCGCGTCGGGTGCGCAGCAACATGTTGGCGTAGTTCACGTGCAGCCAAGTGGAGGCGGCAGCGGTGCTAGCTGTTTGTGGTAATAACAACAAATGTACAGATATTGTGACTATATACCCCACACTATATATAAGTATAGCTATGGCAGAGCTGATTAGGAATTGGTAAGGCCTCCCTTTGTATTAGCCCTTTGTTTATAGAAATAGAACAACCCTAATGATAAGAAATGAAAACTTTGAATGAAGAAATGATTTTTCTAAAGCTTAAAGAAGAAGAGCGTTTTCTGTAAACAAATATGAAAACGAGAAACGAAAACTGAAGAAGGCAGTTCTAAAGAAACAGAGATCCCATTCCCCTTTTATGAAATTTATTACCAAAATATTATGAAAAGTTGCTTGTTCCAAGAATTGGGTTTTCTTATTTCAAGAACACGTTCTGAGTAAATTGATATTTTGATGTAGAAAGACGGTTCCTGATTTTAAGAAAATATATTCTGTTTTTAGGAAATTTACTTTTCATATTATAAGATGCTGTCTTCAGTTCCGAATGTATTTTTGATTTGTAATTCCGAAAACATTTTTGCTTGAATATTCTGTATTGGAAACTTAAAAGTTGTTCAATATGTCTTTAATTTCTTTAAAGGAAAATAAATGTTCCTCACAGCTATTAGGAAGTTTTTGCAAATGATTGTGAGTTACAAAACTAAACACTCCACAAAGCTTGAGAAAATGAACTGCAGTATCAATTTGTAGAAAATTCTAGTGTGCTATAGAAATTGGTGGTAGACTGTACTGTTGAACTAAAGCATGTTGACAAACCACAATTAAATGCAGACGGTACTAGGAAAAAGGTTTCCGGCATTTAAGAATAGCTTAAGATATTTTCAAATAAATAGAATTTTCGTAGGGAAGGATTAATCTGCTCAGACTTTTTTGAAAGGTTTTGAAGCTTGTGTGCATTTGGCCGATTTTCATGCGAAGAGGTTGGTGCTAAGGTATAACTGTTATTAGGTGTGGATTACATATTAAAAAACTCGAACAATTTTTCAATTCGTAAAGCTGTCTAGTGGGACAAGAGTAATGGAAGTGTTAGAAGCCAAAGTTTCTTTTACAAATCGCTACTAAGTAAAAATTCTTTATCTAAACTCCTGGGAATATATTTAAAAATAAAAACCGGCCTCTATTTAGAACAATACGCTTTCTTGCGACAAAGTTGAAACAATTTGATGCGACTGAACTGAACTTTATCTTTCCAAAAGTAAGACATAGAAAAATCGGAGTTATCTAAATTGTGTTATTCTAAATGCATCAGCGTTAAAGACTGATTGTAACAAACTAGTCTACGTTTCAATATGTGTTCTTTGACAAAGTGCCGATGCAGCTTAGAAGATATCTGACGAAATCTGACGCATATATATCTGACGCATATATATCTGACGCATATATATCTGACGTGTTAAATGTCCATTTGTGGTTGCGGGGAATTACATTTTTGATGGCAAGTCACCTCCTATGTTCTACTTACGATTGTAGCTGATTCCCAGACCTAGTTGAGTGCTTGGCTGTGCGGTGCGCTTGCTGACCGTCTCACCGGTGCGCTTGCGATTGCGTCGCGTAAGGCGATAGATGTCCTTCTCGCAGGCCCAATAGAGTTGGCGGACCAGCTTGTCCCGACAACGCGAGTGCGTCTCCCGATGCCAGACGTTCTCCCAGTCGGATTGTGAGCTGCAGGGGCACAGGGGGATAGGGACTCACACAAGGCTAACAATTGTGGCCAGCACCTACCGTTCGCGAAAGAGCAGCTCGAGTCCCTCCTCGGTGTGCTGCTGCTGGATGGCATGCGGCGTGTGCAGGAGTTGCAGGGCCAGCAGCAGAAAAGTGCTGCGCAATGTCAGACTGGAGCGTAGCTGCATGATGATGATTATGCTCGGAATGCTTTCCCGGCTCCAGTGGCACAAGTGTCTCTCACGATGGGCTGTAGGCGACTGAACCTTTTGGTCGCTGCGTTGCTCCATTTTGAAATATAACCGCTGGCCAGTGGACAGGCGACTGCGACTGTTGCTGCTGCTGCATAATTAAATGGCCGCTCGCTTTATTTGAAGTAATGAGCTGACGCAGGTCCATTCTCCCACCCATTCCAGCGAACCTAACCAGGATCGTATATAATGAAGAGATACACGTACACGCGCACGGGAAGGCATTACGCAAATTGTGTTTTTCGCTTGACGCTTATTGTCTTGTTTATTCGAACTCCAACGCCAAATTGTTGCTCCTATATCGTATGTGCGTATTGTTGTTGTTGTTGTTGTTTACCTGTTGCCAGCCTGCCTGGCTGCTTGTCCGATTGCCACAAAACAAAACAACATAAAATTGTTCATCCTATGTTTGTTCGTCTCGTAAAAGTGCGCGCCCTACCCCTACCCCTACCCCTCTCCCACCACCCTTCGTCCGCAGCCCTTTCGTAGGTTGTGGTTCGCATGCATATGCTTATATCCTTTCTAAAGGTACTTGCCATGTATATATACTTGTAGATAGTACGTTTGTCTGCTCATATAAAGGTGCAAATGTGCGAGCGCGTTCATTTCGAAATTCGCATAAATTTCACAATATTTGCACGCTTTCTCACCAAAATCATGCAGGCACAGTGGCCCTCAAATCGCCTAATCGGCTCGGATCTGACTAAAGCAACATATTCACACAAAAATAGGTCAATTAATAGACGACAAAAATGCCAGTATGTTGAACATTTACAAATTACTTGTAGTAAACGGTTCGTGTATTACAAAATACACACTCGTTAGCACCATTTATTTTCAAACATTTATTTCAGTTCGGAAAACCGTACTCTTTGTACCTTTCTCATTGCTCACTTTTTTTTTTTTTTTTGTACAGCAGCAATTATTTGTGGATTTAACACTTTACGCTGCAAGTTGAATTTTTTTGTTGTGTGATCCAAAATACAAGCGCAGCTTTGAATTTAAATCATGAAAGCGCCATCTATTGAGAGTTTGCAGCGTTAGAAAGCTAAATTTGTTCCCCTTTTGAATGCGTTTTAGTGACAGCAGCGTTTTTATTTTACGATTTCTCATTCTGCATTTTCATCTACCCTTTACATCCATCCATCCATCAATAAAATATTCCCAATTAATTGATATTTTGATTGGCGCCATCTATTGAATGTTGGCGGCGTTAGAAAGGCCAGTAGTAGCGCTAATCGTTTCATTTTACGGTTTTTCTTTCTCCATTTCCATCATTCTGTTACATTTATCCATCCATCCATCCATCAATAAAATACTCCCAATTAATCGAACTTTCGTTGCAAAAATATTCAACACGATCAAATTGATCGCCTTGTGAAGTTTCCTTCCATATATGTATACTATATGTTGTGGTAAAAGGATTTAATTTGCTGCGAAATTTACCGATAAAATGTTTTGGGTTTGATCATTTTTTGTATAAGCATAGTTTTATGAGGCATACTAGAAATAACGAGTGTTGAATGTATTTAAGAAGAAGTTGTGACAGAATCCCTCTTATCCTACATATAGTACTTATGTATGATCAGCGCGACGAGATAAATCTATGTATATAGAGACATGCCCGTCCATAAGAACCATACTCGTAAAAGATATATTTTCTAAATAAGTTGATTGTATGCCATATATTCCCTCTTTATTTTATAAACTTAGTAGTCTAGTATTTTATGGTGGCGTTTATAGTGCTCCATGATATTCTGAAGTTTAATCTTAATCGGTAAACAATATCATATACCTATCATAGGACTGATAGCTGCAGAAATCAAGCTTAGTACCAAAGATGGTTTTCATTGAAATTGGTAAGCTACTCTTAAATAATAAAGTTGTTATAAGAATGATTGGTCGATTTTTTATTAGAATGTTTTAGGTGAAACACTGTAGCGGGTAAGGGTGGATACAGGGTGTTTAAAATTCGGTCAGTTATGGTTTTTCGTATATTTTTATGCACTGCATCCGAGGGAAAAAAGGGTATATAAAGTTTTCGCAAAGTATGTAGCAGGCAGAAGGAAGCATCTACGATCCCAAAAAGTACATATCTTCCTAATCAGCGAGATGCATCGTGTCCGTCTGTCTGGATGAACGCTTAGATTTCGCTGACGGTTGAGCCCACATTCACCAAACTTGGATTGTTGGCTCTCCTAATATTTTTATTTTATTTTATCCTGGACTGTGGCGTTATCTCTTGTTTTAAAATAGCATCGGTGTGAACCCACTGTATTGCAGCATTCAGCATCTAGCATCCAGCACCTGTGGGGGCGACTCTGATTGTCTTTCTGACCGTTGGACCCAACGTCGCCCACATAAACTCAATTGCTTAGCTAAATAATGGCGCTGTTTACACATGTTCCAATAAACGAGTAAGTATGTGTGACACGCCTGGCTGGTGTGTCCGCCTGCGGGCGTCTCTGTCTCGAAAGTCCTGCTGCGTCGAAGATGTTGACGCTTTGCTTTGCACCCTTCAGTTGCCCGCGGGCTTTCATTGGCTTTGGTTGCGAACTCCCCCGGGAATATATATTTGGACGCTCGATTCACAGTTGATTCCCAAAACGCTGCAATTTGAAGCACGCACGTTGACGAATGGCTGGACATTTTGTGAGAACCCGTATAGTGGGGTTCTAGCTGTGGAGTTTGCCGCAGGAATCAATGCAAATATCAACCAGAGCTCAATTCTGAGAAGGGCTTGTTGACAGTTTATGGCACACAAATAAATTTAAGTACATACTGTTACTTATATACGAGGGTATTGCAAAAAGTATTCGCTGTCTGCTTCGCCTTTCTATGTTCAGACTAATTCGTAGCATAATTTTTTTTATTTCACAGCCTTTTCTTCAGCCGAAAAAATTAATGAATGCGTCCTTCGCTCCTCCTTCGTCATCTCACAAATTCCTTTGATATTGGTTTGATGAAACACATAACTCTTTTAATATTGTTGATGCAACAAATAAATAAAGCTGTTCCCAGGATTCAAAAAGAAAACTTAAATAACACGATAACTTATGCCGATAATATCCATGGCGCTTTTGTATAAGCAAGTAAATTGGTGGACTGCTAAAATGTTGCATTTTTAAGACAAAAATAAACCCTAATATCCATGTTACCTGATTTTTATAATCAAGGAAGGAAGACGCGCTTCAAGTTTATGTTAAAAAGGAAGTGTGTTCGAGCACTCACAAATAAAATCGGTCAAAAACATATTTTTGACATAAGGTAGGGATATACTGTATACTCGTAGTTCATATTGATTAAATATTGTAAGCCTGTTTGTATTTAAGAAATAAGAGGACGTTTGTATTTCTATAAATTATACTTATAGATTCTTTCAACTTGACATTTTGGCGGTAGTTAACAAATTTCCATCCAAATCTTCCATAATTTCTCCTTAGTTTCTCCATGAACAAGTATCCACCCTTTTCCCCGCTATATACCAATCACTTCTAACATATAAGCTATATAATATATCTTTTCATAGTTATTAAATACCCATAAATAGTATACCTAGTTGGTATATCTCAATGCACAACATTTTTGGGACTAGGTTGGTTTTTGTATCGACTTTCCTATGGCAGCTATTTTATATAGTGGATCGATATTAATGAATCCGCAGAATATTGTGAGGCACTATAAAGTACCGAATTTGTTTCAGATATCTTCATAAACAAAACAATTCTCCTACTAAGTGTGCTTGTTTCAACCGATCGGTCCTATGGCAGCTTGATAAAATAATCACTCTATATATATTTTGTAATAAACTTGCTGTGCATATGAATAAGACAAGTCTAAATACAAAGTTTGGTGACCCTAGCTTTTATGATTGAAAAGTAATTGGTGTTCATACAGACGAACAGACGGACGGCCATATCACTATCGATTCAATCCACCGTGTCTCATACTTGCTGCATATATTTGCATATTTAAACTTTCTAGTAACCCCCATGTGAATGGATAACCATTAACATATGACTAAAATTCTCAGATGACTTTTCAAAATACTTGTTTGCATGAAACTTAGTTCGAAGTAATACTAACTGAGACAAAGTGGACACATGGATATATATACTATATGTGTATTTTTGTCCACATGAGACTTTTTTCATTACCTTAATATACATCTGTGATAACTGAAGCATAAAACTTGATTTAAAGAAAAACTTGATACAGTAGACACATGAAAATGTATATATTTGTACAAATCTCACGTATGACCATCTGACGTATGAGCATCTAATGTGTAACTATCGTAACTAACTTTCGTTTCACACGAAGTGGAAATACATATATGTATAAATACTGTAAATACTTGTCAGCATTTGCCGCTTCAGCATCTGATGTTTTTCTTTATACTTACTTATAAAAAGCTACGCAATACGTTTTTCCAAATGTAATTGAATCAAAGTCGACACATCAATATATGTATATATTTGTACACATTTGACGCGTGAGCATCTGACTCGTGAGTAGCAGTAGCATAATCATCTGATGTTTTTCTTTATTTCCTTTATGATGCTCTGCTCTAAAATCATACTCCCACTGTGTGTACACACAAAAGTCCATCTGTAATTATGTATATGTGCATCTGACGCTTGAGCATCTGATGTGTGAGCAACATATGTTCTTCTTCATTTCATTTCATATACGAAACTTCGCTCTAAAGACTTAACAGCTTAATATAGGAAACACTTACTGACACACATTTGACGCGTGAGCATCTGACGTGTGAATATCTGACGCATGGGCATCCCAATGTTATTTATTATAAGGCTACACACTAAGATGTTAGAAACTTAATTTAAGGAAATACTTACTGAACGACCCTCGTAGTATGATTGGTCGCCGTATTTGTTTAAAGTCGAAGGCGACTTATTAAAGTAGAGCCGCATGTCCGCGACGATGACATGCCAGCAGATCTCTATTAGCATATAAATGCAAATTATAGCTGCATGATTAAGTTGAAAGTCGGGCATTAAATAAATATACCAATTACATGGATGAAAATGTGCAAATATGCAAAATAGTTGGTTGGTTGATAGTTGGCGATGGACAGGTCCGGTCAGGTTCGGTCAGGTCAGGACGTGTAATGAAATAAATAAGAAAAGTAAAAAAGCAGAAAATGAGAGATGGAAAGAGAAATGAACAACGAGTCATATTTACATACAATATAGCTGTAATTTTTATTAACACAATAATCCAATTTATTGTATCCATTAAATACATTTTGTTTTTTTTTGTCCTTCATTTTTTTAAGTTGAAATTTTTGTGTGCAACTCCTTTTATGGAACGCATGTAAATTATCATTTGCATATAACAACATGCTGAATCATCTGTATTTATATTATGTTTCTTTGTTGTCGCTCATGTTTTTAGGGTATATGGCTGGATATTCGATTTAAATCGTTAAATTATGAGCTACACAGAACCGCGTGACGTTTGTAGTACAACTGTCTAAATATATATAGTATTAGTATATGATGTATATAGGTATATATGTGAATGTTGAGTTAGCTATATACATACATACATATGTATACATGTAAAAAATTTGTTAAAAATGTAGTTTCCTGTGTCTCTGGATCTCTGTCCTTGGCTACTAAGTGTACAAGTATATATGTACTATAAGTATAAGTATGTATACATTATACAAGTACTTGTACTTGTATATAAAAAACTGTTTGCCAAATTCGAAACGTAAAATTTGTGCAATTCAGATTCAAATTCAACTTGAAATTCATCTCATTTCCACTTAATGCGTAATGTACAATAAATGTTAAGTTTATAATTTAAGAATAAGTATAAGGTATAATGTATATAGTTAATGTATATATCATAATTTTTTGTTCAACATACACACATTTATAGTTGCTGTTGTTGTTGTTGTTGTTGTTGCCGTTGCTGTTATTGTTGTAGTTGCATCTTTGAAACTTGCAAATACTTATGTGTGTATATATATATATATGTTTATGTTTTTCAATTCCAAAACTGTGCTAGGAATGCAGTAGAGGGTACATATACAGTTACATACTCGTTGGCGGAATGCGCAAAAAATAATCACACAAACATATTACATACATATACGATTATAATTACTTTGTCAATTAATTCTGCCATCAAATTTTGATTCTTGTTTTCCACAATTCATATGATTTGATCTACAATTTAATTCGGCAAGGCCGAAGCAACAAAAACATTAATACCTATTATCATTATGTATAATCAATTGAATCGCAAATAACTAAAATGGACAACAGCATTCATAATCCCCATGCATTAATCAAAATTTATATTTTGTGAAACTAAATTATTTGCATTACTAAGCCCAAATTTGCAACAATTGTTGTGAGCAAATCAGCACGAGTATTATGAAGTGAAGTGAAGCGATGGGGCTTTATATTTTCCAGCTCGCAGAATTAAAATGTCATCAAAAACAATCAAACAAATACAAATGAAGGCTCTAAATAATAGCCAGGATATATGGCCAGGAAGTCTACTCATCTTTAATTGATATCCTTTCCCAAATCTACAAAGCCAGCCTCAAAACAAAAAACTAGTATTATTTATGAGAAACAGTCCCTCGCTCGCCCCTACATACTGCAGATTAATCATCGGGGAAGAGGATTGTTATCGGGGCGAAGCTATCGCTATAAGGAATCAATTATGATCAATCCATCCAACTTTCTTTTCCACGACTCGATAGTTTCTCGCAACTAGAGCTCTAATAAAATAAAAGTCTAAGTTTTGTTTGCCAAAAGATAAAACTGTTGGAAGAAATATACTGATTTTTTATGAAAAACATTTTTTTTTTAATTCCATAACGATGGCTCTATTTTCTTCAAAATATTGTTCTGTTTACCATTTTTAAAAACATTATACTATTGGATAGCCATTAAAATCCCTAAACAACATACACGTATGTTCTTGTTGAATGACTTTTTTGAATTTTGCAAAATATTATTCTGTTTTCCATTTTTAAAAGTATTTTTCTATTGGAAGGGTATCCATTAAAATTCCTCTACAACATATTTCATGAGGATTAAACAGCTTTTTACTCTGACATGAGATGCTTCCGCTGTTGTTAAACACTGGAGTTGAAAAACTGAAATATTTGTTCAATAGAATTATTAATCTTCCCCCACTTCCCCGTTGTGTGCAAGGTTTTAGCTCGTAGTATGTTTTCATTATCCTTAAAGATAATATGATAATATCAACTTAAAAAAATGTGTATATAGTATTATCATCAAACATTTGCACGAATACGATCTACTTGTAGAACGGGTCGGAATGGCGTTTATTATTTGCTTCGAAGATAATACAAACCCTGCTTTTAGCAGGAAAAGAAAGTAGAACTGAAAAAAAATTCCTTTTCCATTTTGTCATACAATACTAAATGCTGATAAAAGGGCTAAAGCATAAGCGATTATTCCGAGGCAGCCCGATTCTCTGTTCGAACTACCTACTAAGTAGCAACACTTGCCTTACATGTTCGCACTATTATTGTATTAGAAATTCTCATTATAAATGCTAGTCGTAGCTTGTACGGAAAATCAAAAAATTTTTGTCGGCCTAGTTCCGCTAGCCAATTCTCAAAATTGAACCAATTTCCAATTTATTCTAGGGATCACAATCGCAGAGAACGACATGTTTAGGAACACCGTGCAATCGGGACTCTTGTCAATACTTTATAGCCTTGGCTCGAAGCCGCTTCATCTTTGGGAGAGAAATGCCGGCAATGGACGCATCAGGCGTATAATTGATCCGGAAATCGAGAGCGGTGCATTGGAACTATCGGGAGCCAATGTGAAGCACACGTTCATTCGATGCCCCATCGGCCCCGAGAAGAGGTTGGGCATTAAGCTACCATTTCTGGTACTGATCATCAGAAACATGATGCGGTACTTTATGATCGAAGTACAGATTCTGGATGACAAGAATGTGCGACGCTGTTTTCGGGCCAGCAATTATCAAACCATAGCACGCGTAACGCCAGCCCTATGCTCGATGCCTATGCGTTTGGATGACGGCTGGAATCAGATTCAGTTAAATCTGAACGATTTTACGCGTCGAGCCTATGGCACTAACTATGTCGAGACCCTGCGGATTCAGATTCACGCCAATTGCCGAATTCGACGAATATTTTTCGCTGATCGCCTCTATCCATTAGATGATCTGCCCCCAGATTTTAAACTAGAGCTCGCGATGCCGTTCATGTACAAGAAACCTGAGAAAATGTGCACCGGTATTACCAAAGAGGAAGAGGAATGGAAGTGAGAGATAACCGAATAACTAAATTCTAGGCACAAACTGCACTCCAACAGCCGATTCACCACTATATGACTATTTCTTAGTGCATGCAATTTTTTTCAAATTAAAATTCATTGCGTGAATTCTGTAGGCAAGCAATTCCCAATTATTTTCACTTGTGGGTTTATTTAAAATTTCCAAAAAGTAGCCGACACCTTCCTTAATGGGAGGGGTTTGCAGTATTGTAACCGTCTAAGGAAAACATGATAATCACAGTAAGGTCCCCGGTTAACCAAAATTTATTCCGAGTGAAGTAATTCCAAAACAGTAATTCTAAATAATTCTATAATTCGGAAAAAATAAGTTTTAAAAAGTTATTTCGAAAATGTAATTCAAAAGTACTATCACAAAAGGAATTACGAAAAACGTAAATCGGGAAAAAGTGATTCCAAATTTACTTCCGAAAAATGTAATTCCGGTTATTCCAAATAATATAATTCGGAAAGAGTAATTTCAAAAAAATAATTTTGAAAATGTAATTCCAAAGAGTAATTCCGAAAATGGAATTGTGAAAAATGCAAATCGGAAGTTCCGAAAATGTAATTCAAGGAAGGAATTCTAAAAAATGTAATTCCAGATAAAGTAATCCCGGTTAGAGAAATTCTAAAAAAATAATTTTAAATAAGTAATTCTAAATAATGTAATTCAGAAAAAAATAATGTTAAAAAAGTCATTTTCGAAAATATAATTCCAAATGAAAAATGTAAATCGGTAAAAGTAATTCCGAAAATGTAATTCAATGTGCCGATGTTCAGAATTCAGATAAAAATAATTCAACCGAAAGTCAAAATCTATTTTAAAACTATTAGTTTAAGTAATAAATAAAGTTTGTGAAGCCAGGAAATTGAAATAATTAAACATTCCCAATACGTAGATTTATGATTTACATATAAAATAAAGAGCTTGTTAAATTTTCATATCACCCCATTTATTAATTTTAATAATAAATCATATCATGGAAATAATATATTAGTTTGATTAAAGTTCCGCAGAGCTTTCTATATAAAGCCTCATCTGGTTATGAATTTCGTGTCTGTGAGAAGTAGAGGAATACAAAAATGTACTTATCAATCAAATAAAATATATGCTGCGGCCAAACTAACGAATAATTTTCAAACGAGCGTGTCCAGTTTTTTAAAAGGACCAAGAAAAGTGAGTCTAAGAAACGGGTAGCTTCTGTTCTTAAATTGTAGTTCAGTTATTGAAAATTTTATCGAGTACTTCCAGTTCAAGCGAGTGGTTCAAGCTGTTTGAAAATATTTTTCGGTTATGCTCCATAGAGCTTACATATTAGCTCCCAGCCGATCCATTCAAAAGGTGGCGTTAGCTTCTTTTTTAAAGTGATGTTAGAAGATAATTCAGTTTTCTCGTATGTCTGATATCTTTGCTTTCATGCACTTCTACTTCAGAGAGTAGAATTTCCGCTAAAAAGGTAAAAATCTTCTTTGGATAGCTCGAGAATGCAAGTTTACTTTACGTGCAAAGCATTTTTTTTGTCTGACCGCTCCTACTCAGTGTATGTTGAAATGGAATGGAAACAAATGCTTCTTCATTTAGTGTCTTTAAATCTATTTTAAACTCTAGTCTGTAATGTTTTAACTGTCCACTAACTGTAGTAATGTTTTAATCATCGAAACTTACAACTATAGTTGAATTTTTCTGTAACTCTGTCACTCTTCTCTCCCTCTCCCTGCCTATTCTTTCGCTAAGTTCCTTCATTACCTCCATGCTCTCCAGCCATGCTCTCTCACTAATAACAAATCATCACATCTCCCTATGCTAAACATAATTCATAACTATATAGTATTGTATAATTACAATTCTTCTTGTTTGTTTTAATTAACTCTTAATTCTCTAATACACATACAGAGTTGAAACTACACGTACAGTTTAATATTCAATGAATAATACGATTATTGGCATTAACTCTAGGCAATTTTTAATTCACTTTTCAATTAATTCAATTTTGAGTGCAGCACTGCATTTAAATTAACTGTGTAATCCGAGTAATCCTTGCACGGTTAATTGTCATACAAAAAACGAGCAGCGAAAACTTTTCCACGCACTTATACAATACATACATACAAGTATGTAGAGTATATATTAATATTAAATATATGTACTTGGTAATTTAATTGCATAAAATTTAGTAGTGTCTCATTTCTTTAACTGTTATATTCTTTGTTTCTTATTTAAGTAATGGTAGTACACACGATAATACAATTCAATTACATTATAATATTTTGTTATTTGAATGCCAAAGCTTTGTTGACAATAGCTGTTAGTTGGCATCGACCTATTCGAACAATCCGCTCCATTTGAACTGCTGATCCAAAATTTATGAACTCATTTCCAGTTCGCTTATATTTGTCAAAGGAAATGTTTAAGCTTTAACTTAAAAAGAAATTGAAATTTGAACAGAAAAAGAATTTGGAATTTTATGGAAATGTTGAAAATTGAGTGACTTTGGAAAAGGACTTAAAGTTGGGCTTTTGTGTGTAAATATTGCATTGCTGGTGATTTGAGGAATCGTAATTATAACTGAAAATAAATCACTTCGATCATGGGATATGGGATATGGAAAATGGAATATAGAACATGGGATATGGAATGTGGAAAATGGAACATGGGATATGGAATGTGGAAAATGGAATTCAAAGCCATCACATTTCACAAATACGTTTTCAAAATTGTGAGAAATATTCGAACAGACTGCAAAAACACCCAGTGTAAGTGAAAAAGTAAGTGTAAGAATCGATGAAAATAAATGTTCATAAAAAGTGATATTGAAGGTGGATTTAAAAGTTCACACATAGCAGATAACGAAATAAATCGACAATAAGCGGAATAAAAAGCATACTAGATGTTCACATTGCAATAAAGATGGTTTTGATTTCGTAACAATTCTACAGCAACAAATGAAAATCACAATTATGAACAAATTCACATTTAGGAGGAAATGAGAAACTTCCTTTTCGCTTTTTAACTCCAAGAAACTTGTGAAATCAGAAATGTGAAAACGACAAGGAAATAATGCAAAGACATACTACTTGTATATTGAAATGTTTTTGCAGAATAAAAGTGATTTGGAAAAGTATAATAATGAAAATATTCACAAAAAGGAGGAAATGAGAAACTTCCTTTTGACTTTTTGACGAGACTTTCGCTATGGTCTTGATCGACAATCATATAATGCCGTTCGTTTATATAAATATTCACTTATAATAATAAATTTCACAATCCATTTCATGGCATGTTTGTGTTGTTGTTTGCCTTAAGAATAAGATTTTACAAATAATAGTATTTTACAAATGAGTAGCAAGAAAAAAAACTTCCTTAACTATTTACTTTTTACTAAATGCTATAACAAATTACACACACAGACAGTAACGTACAAACTACACGTACTACCGCGGTCTGTGTTTTAGTTTTTGTTGTTCTTGTTTGTAACACTGTTTTTTTTTTTTTTTGTTAATTAACACGTCATTTATGCATCTGTGTAAGTTTAATTTTAAAATCGCGCGCAAAAAAAAAAAAAAAAAACAAGACAAAGTGTTTCGAATTTCATTCTCTAAGCAATTATTTGTTGGTTTTCGCAAAGCTAATATGTAATGCGCATGTTTTTGATGCCCGGGCATCAATTGATACAATAGCGCTTACAGCAACACATACAAATAGACATAGATAGACAGATATATAGACAGACAGACAGATAGACAAACGGACTGACAGATATCGGCTGTTTATAGCATGTCGATGTTGGATGTGCCATTGCCAGTTGCTGTACGTGTTGTCTTTGTCATCTGCTGATTGGTCACTATCGGGGGTGGGCTGCCACACCAGACGACCTAGAATGGAACATTAATGGCATTATACACATATGTAGACATATAATATACAGTATTACTTCGATAGTCCGGACAATTAGTGTTCTGGATAAACGATACAAACGAAATTAAAACAAGAATGGAATGCTTGAAAATCCGTTCTATGTGTCTGTGCGTATGTGTGTGCATCGGGGAAAAAACATAAACTTAATTTGCATAGGACTTAGGGGAATTTGTATACCAAACTTGGTTATTTGATCTCTTGTACTTCTTGAGATCCTTGCGTTCATACAGACGTACAGGCTCGATTTGTCTTACTGATCAACTGCCTGCTTCTGTGCATTACAAACATTCGCACTAAGCTAAGTAGTATACCCTTTTACCCTATTGGTACAGAGTGTAAGAGGTGGTGAAATGTTAGAGTTGTCGTTGGCCGACTTTCCGTACCAATCATTTCTATGTGGCTCACCGATTTTGATAAAACTTCAAATTAGCTTCAGACAGTACACAAATTCCTACCCACAAGTTTTCGTTACAAAGTTTGATTTCAGCGCCGATCGTTCTATATGATATGCTAAGCCGATTTAAATGAAACTTGAAAATATCATGATGCGCCGCTATACAATACCCATAAAAACCAAATTCGCTAAAGATATCATTACAAAAAAAAAGTATTCTATTAAAAGTGATTTTTCCTCCGATCGTTCCTATGGTAGCTATATAAATTATAGATGCTATTTTAGATTTTTAATAAACTTCTTGTGCGTATGAATAAGATAAGTTGACATACCAAGTTTGGTATCCCTAGCTGGTATGGTTTAAAACTTCTCGATGTTCATACAGACGGACATGCGGACGGACGAACAGATGGAAAAGTTCATATCGATTCGGCTAATTCATTTGACGCTTATATTTTCTAAAGTACCTTTTCATCCTTCGTGTAGGTAAACAAAATAATTACTGGTTACAAATACAAGTTATGTGTACTGATCATGATCATGATCATGATTTGTAGGAATTATGATTGTGAAAATGTTAAGGAAATAAAAATAAAATGGATGTCCGAACTATCAGTTGTGTGACGTATGTATGTTGCACTGTGTGCTTAAACAAGTAATTATATTTTTTATGTGCCGTTCCGATTGTGTATTGCTATTTATTCTGTACTTACCTTGCGAAACGCTTTGCGAAAGTTGTCCGAGAGAAATGCATAGAGTATGGGATTAATGCAGGAGTTCGTATAGGCCAGCACATGCGATATAATCTGAATAATGACGGTCAAGTGTGTGGCGCTGTACAGGTTGAGTGCCTTTAATACGAGTATGACCTGCAGGAGTAGAAAAATATAAATAAAATTGTGACTTCATTGTAGAAATATTAGAATATTAATGAAGGAGGTGTTTAGTATTCAAAATTTGAGATTAAGCCATGTATTGTATTTAAGTTCTTAAAACAACTTTAATCAATTTTAAAGATAACAAGTTCCTATAAGCGGGTTTGTGCCCTCGTTTTCGCAACTACACTTTCCCATGCTTTGAAATACTTTTTTGTGTGAGTTCCCGCTTAAACTAATTGAACTTGAATTACTAACGCAATATTTTTTTGGGTTAACAAAAACCACTGCTCAAACCAATTTTATAGTGAAGACTTAAGTAAGAGACCCCTTTAGCTATCTTCATAACTTCATTTTATCTTCATAACTTTTTTCGGTCAGAGCTTACAGCGAAAACAAATAAAAGATATATCTCAAGCTGGAGGGCTTGCATGCCAAATTTCGTGACCTTAGCTCCTACAGTTTCTGAGGTCCTGGCGGTCATACAGACGGACAGTTCCATTTGACTTCATTGGTAATGCAGCTGTAACGACTATGGTCGAACCTTGATTAGTTCTCTAGATAGAATGGAGATAGGATCTGGAAACTTATTGAAAGTTTTTCATATAAAATACTTGCTATACAACTATTCTTATTTGTGTGGAAACTGAAACATCTTGAGCTGCATATTAAGAATTGTGCCGTAAATTGTGAGACTGGGGCGATCCCCTTCAAAGTGCTGCGACCTTCTGGTGTGTGGCACATATAAATGCAATTTGTATATTTCATTAGCCTGATTCATGTACATATTCGTACATTGCACATGGAAGCCGATGTCATTGGCTCAGTTTGTCAATAGCCTGAGCCTCAGACCCAGACCGATTCCGGTCCCAGTAGTATAGTAATTTCATTTGTAATTTGTAAGCGCATTGATATCGGGAAGCATCCAACATCCACAGACAGGCAGACATGCTTCGACATTCAAGGCGCTGTTGCAGGACGAGCTGGCGAGCGACTTGAGTTGCGGAACATTTCATCAAATATGCATATTTAAAGTGTATGCATAGCAGGTTGAGCAGAAATGTCAACTATCACAGACATTGGAACATAATTGCTGCATATTGTGGTGGCATGGGAGCGCTTTCCTCAAGTGGCAACAGCTGTTGTCAATGAGGAATACTTGAGAGTGTTTACATGCCCTACAATTGTAAGTGGACCAATTATGCCAGACTTGCAAACAGTGGGACAGTGATTAGGCACTCTAATCGATAGCAAGCAAGGACGATTATCGATACAGATATACACATCTATGTACAAAATTGTACAGTTGTATAAACATTCATTTGATTGGCTTTTGTTTAAATGAATACTAAAAGAACACTAAAAAGGAAAACCGCACGATAATTATAAAATTAAGAAAATTCGATCCATTTAATAGAAATTTTATTTTGAAATTCTTTTCTCTTCTTTTAATTTCTCATATTTAATATTTAGGATAAATATAATGAGATATGTTTCATTTCATATATATTTTAATACATACTTTTAATATAATGAACATTGGTATGATTTTTATTTAAATCAAATTATATCCAACAATATACCATATGCGTTAAATATTGTTTTAGATAGAAGAAATATTTTTGAAGCAACTTAATTAGCACAATTATCATGACGGAACACATGATTGAACAAATTTCAAGGTTACCATAAAATTTTATATTTGCCCTACCAGATCGTAAATAAAGATTAAATTGAAAAAAACACATTTTTATAAATGTTGCAATGATCTAAATGCTTATCGTTTATCGAACAGCCGATTACATTTAAATACATAACTGTTTGGCACCACATCGGGCAACGAAATAATTATCAACAAAATCGATAAATGGTGCCTCCTAATTGTGCACGATCAACAAAATCAAAGGATAAGTCTTGGCCAAAATTTTTAAAAATAAGTGTGAAATGAAATAATCTTCCATTATTTTTATTATTCACTATTTATTTATTTATTTTTTATATTTTTATGACCGTCGACATAAGGACACAATATACAAGTTATAATAAAGCCTTATAAGCTAGGAAAGCCCAAGTAAGAGAAATCTAATCGAATTGCAATAATACCTAATAAACACCTCTGAACCGGTGGGGCTATCTACTCAGCCAACTATGGCCAGAGTCGTCAATACCAATATCAGAAGAAAAAACCTAACAGGGAAAGCTAAGAATTAGTTAAAAGTTAAATTTAATTTTTGCAAAAAAAGGGTGAAAAAAATGAAATCTCAGACCCGGTGAGGGAAGACTTATTGCTAGTTATAAAACTATTTGCCAAACAGGGGAAATTGCAGAAACCTCAAATATGTTGAATTTTAAGTCAAATTAAAAAACAATTAAGATAAAATGTATCCCTCGCTGCAAAGTAATTAAAAATCGTTTTTTCACTTTTCAAAAGTTTCGCTCTTCAATCTGTGGCGGCGAAATTGTTTGTCGCGCTTGCTGGGCGAATAAAATTGTTTGTATATATTACTTTATTGTCTTTACACTCAGAGAAAAAACAGATGTTTCGTTCTAAAATCAAATGTAATCAATATAAATAGAAGGTTAGGCCCGAAAATGCTTGCTTTAAATAAAAAAAAATGCTACATTTGAGAACTTTTTTTAATCTGGAAAATTTTGGTAGTATTTCTTTTTAAGTATGAATTGTTTATAATGGTTGTTACCTATATGTGGGTATTTCTAATATTTATTTCTATTGACATTGATTACTTGTTCTTGAAAGAGTGCTGTCAAAACTAATTGCCTCGTTATTAAATTTTGGAATGCTAAGTAAAGATATTTCTAGAATTGTTGCCACATTTTTCGCTCAGTGTAGCTGCTTTTTATTCCCTTTTTTAGATGCTAGTTGCAAACAATATTTTCATAAAGTTTATTGAAAGCCAGACGCGGCAGCTATATTAAAAGGTGAGCTCTAATTTCAAATTTCTGTGCAAAGTTTTACAAAAATGGAAAATTTGGGCAAAATTTTTCGGATGAATTACTTACATGTATCGGTAGCCAGCAGATTGCAAAAGCCAGTACAACAACAACAACCATTCGTGTGACGCGTCGCTTGCCTTTGCTGTGAACATTGAAGAGATTAGTCGAGAGGTCGATAGTTGAGCGTCGGAGCACATCATCGGTATGTGTGTGTGTGTGTGTGTGGGAAGAGCAGAAATAGGAACATCATAAATTTAAATATACTAATATATAAATGTACTATATATAGGGATGATATGATAAATTGTGTTTGAAATGCAACTGAATTTCAAATTTAAACGTCTCCAAAAGGAGAGAAAATTTTGGAGTATTATAAAACATTTTCTTTTTACTTTCTTTCTCTTTGAAGATCTGTCGTTGGATAATACTTGTTCATTAATAGATCCCTCTAGCCACTGAGCAAACCCTTTTTATCTTGCCTGCATAAACTATATAAATGTACTGTATATATATATATGGATAATACTTGTTCATTAATAGATCCCTCTAGCCACTGAGCAAACCCTTTTTATCTTGCCTGCATAAACTATATAAATGTACTGTATCTATATATATAAAACAGTTTGTCCTGACTGACTGACTGACTGACTGACTGACTCACTGACTGACTGATTGGCAATCAACGCACAGCCCAAACGGTAAGAGCTAGGAAGCTGAAATTTGGACACAAGATCCCTCTTATAGTGAAAGTGAGCACTAAGAAGGGGTTTCGGAAAATTCGAGCTCCAAAGGGGGGAAAACGAGCTCCAACGTTTGTATGAAAAATCTACAATTTTTATCCGATTAACTTCAAACTTAGTTTGTATACTCTCACAAAGAATACAAAAAAAACTGTATACTTGGATTTTCAATATTTTTCCTGCGGCCTGAATAATAATGATTTTCCGGTGGAAAATTCGGTAAACGAAAAGCTATGTGCAATCAACGCACAGCCCAAACGGTTAGAGCTAGGAGGCTGAAAATTGGACACATGTTGTCTTCAGTGGTGTAGGTGAGCACTAAGAAGCGGTTTTGGAAAATTCGAACGCCAAAGGGGGGAAAACGGGCTCCAACGTTTGTATGAAAAATCTACAATTTTCATCCAATTAACTTCAAACTTAGTTTGTATACTCTCAAAAAGAATACAAGAAAAACTGTATACTTGGTTTTTCACCATTTTTCCTGGGGCATTGAAAAGGGGGGATTTTCCGTGGAAAAATTTAAACACAATCAACACCCCACAGCCCAAACGGTAAAAGCTAGGAAACTGAAAACTGGGCTCAAGTATCCTATCATGGTGTAGATGCGCACTAAGAAGGGATTTTGGAAAATTCGAGCTCCAAAGGGGGGAAAAGTAGCTCCAAAGTTTGTTTGAAAATTCTGCATTTCTGAATCGATCAACTTTAAATTTGGTTTTTATAATCTATAAAAGAATACAAACAAAACTGCATACTCGGTTTTTCGAAATTTGTGTTGGAGCTTGAATTATTGGGGTTTTAATATTTATTCATTTTTTCAAATGAAAACTTTGTGTTATAAATTTTGTCCGATCGATTTCAAATTTGGGTAATATAATCTACGTAACTAAAATTACAACTTTGCATTTAACGATTTTTAAAATATGCATTTTACAAATGCAGGCAGAACAAACAATACAAAATATCAAACAGTTGGGGACAACTAAGTATACATACACACACACATACATATATACAAGCAGCTGTTCGTGTAGTTGCGTGTAAACGGTTGAAGTAGCCAAAGCAAAATGTGAGACACTAATGTGTGAATGTTCATTTGTACAAATGTATGTACATATATACATACATACATATGTATAAAATTACATTCGTCTTGCACTGACAGGGCAAGAAATGTTAATTAATTAAAAATTATTAACATTATAACATAAACATTTTTATGTTATTTTTTCTTTGTTTAGTACATTTGGCATAAGGGATTTTAGGACAACGGACTACAAGGGCGTACGCAGGTTGGGCAGGGGGGACATTGCTCCCCTTAGAAAGAATTTCGCATTATGAATTACACCAGCACCATATGTATTACATACGTACATACATATATACATACGTCTGTATGTATAGTATGTACATATGTACATCAATAAGTATGTATGTACGTACATACATTCTTATATACATATATAGGTTTGTATGTATGCAGTGGGCCATCGAACACTGTTGTTTAATTGTAATAAATAGTGTTCTATGTTTTCAAATCAAAATTTTTAAAACAACAACAACAAGTTATTGGCTCGCAAAACTTCTTTCGTTTTGATAATTTACGGCTGTTAATTGCATACGAAAAATGCCAAAAGTTTACAGTTACCGTACACACACAAATACATTTGTATGTATGTATGTACATATGTGTACAGTGAACAATCGAATACAGTATTATAATCAATAACTCTCAAACGATGTTTTTCGATGTATTTGTATTCGACATGTATTACGATATATCAACACAAGTATCGATATTTTCGATATATCGCATTTAATTTTATTATTGGGGTTTTAATATTTATTCACTTTTTCAAATGAATAGTTTGTGTTATAAATTTTGTCCGATCGATTTCAAATTTGGGTAATGTAATCAACATTATATCAACAAATTGGCATTCAACGATTAAAATATAGCAATATGTTTTAACTTGCCATATATCAAATATCAAATAGTTGGGGACATCGCATACACACACTCACACATACATACAACAAGCAACAGTTCGTGTCTATGTGTGCCCATGCATACATACATATGTACATGCATATGCATGTATGCCTGTATATGTATGTAGCATGTACATACAAAACAACAACAACAACTTTAAGTTGTTGGCTCGCACATCTTCTTTCGTTTTGACCATTTAATGTTAATTGCAAAGGCAAAACGCCAAAAGTTTACAGTTACCGTCGTTAAGCAACGACTGCGTAAGCGATAGTAAAGCAGAAACCGAATAACGGAGCTACGCATATTCTGCTTCGCATTGCGGGCAGATGTATGTATGTATGATTTGTTCTTATTGATCTCAATAAATAATTAGATTTTATTATTTAAATATTCTGCTTATTGCATTCAAACTTCGATATTTTGATGGTATCGGTGGCTTCAACTATCGAAAGTTGTACTCTAGCAAATTGAGATGAGAATTGTCAGTGCTTTTTGATCGTGGCTCATCGCTGCACGGCATTGACACGAGTGCCGTGTTTCATATTTTTTAAAAATTATTAGTTATAGTGGTCATGTTCGTTTAACGAAATAGTTTGGCAAGAACAAAAATGTAACGGACTACTGAACAATTTTTTGTCAAGAACAGAAAATGTTCATTTAAATACCTTAAATGCCTTCCTACTGGTAACTTATAAGGTGAAAACATATGGGTAGGTTATGCACACACAAAATAAATACAATTGGAAACATTATATTGAGCCGGGTTAAGACGGGCAATACCTGCTAGTATATATATATAGGGATAATAAATTGTGCTTGAAATGCAACTGAATTCTAAATGTAATCGTGTCCACAAAAAGAGAGAAAATTTTGGAGTATTATAAATCATTTTCTTTTTACTTTCTTTCTCTTTGAAGATCTGTTGTTGGATAATACTTGCCCTAAGCAGTTCCCTCTCGCAACCCACTGAGCACACTCTCTACAACTTTTTTATCTTGCCTGCATATACTATATACTATATAAATGTACTGTATATATATATAGGGATAGTACTTGATACACAGAATATATATATTTATATAGATGTATATTCATATAAGCATAGCATGTACGTAGCATGTACATGTCAGAAATGATGGGGGTTCAAGCAGCCGAAAAACTTAATTAGAAGCGCGAGGCCCGCATATTACGCATACGCCGCGTTGGCAACTCTGCTGAAAAAAAAAAAAAAATAAACGCAGAGACAAGCCAAACAACAAGCGAACAAACAAACTGTGGCGCTGACGCGGAAATTTAATACAAATGTTTGTTTACTCGGCAATTTCGTTCATTGCTGCCTTTTTGCCTTCACTTTGGCGTCATCTTCATCTTCGCTCGAAGTCCTTGCCTTTTGTCGTTTTGTTTCTCATTTTGTTGACTTCCTGCCTATCTCTCTGTATCTCTGTCTCCCTGTCTCTCTGGCTGCCCTTTTAAAGACTTTACTTTTTTTTGTCGTTGTTTGTAATAGAAAGCGATCCGAGTGCTGGTTGGACATCATTATCGTCATCATCACCTTCATCATCAAGAGCAAAGTTTTCGGGGTAACTCGTATTTTACTTGCTCTGTTTGGTCAGGGTGTGGTCAATAAATTGAGTGAAGCACTGCAACTTAAAAGGTTATTCCAACCGAAAAGAAAACCTGAATTCGACAATACATTGACTATATACATACATACTCGTATGTAGCTGGGGGACCTTCACAATTATTGCCCACGCTGCTGCCCTTAAATGATTTCATTTTGTGGCCAATATTTCTTTTTATTTCGCTTGGCTTGCTGCTTAAAAATGCATGACCCCGATTCGTGAGTTTTATGGTCGCAAATATATGGACATACATATATATATTTGTTGTTAAAAATTTATCATTCATTCTGCCAAGGAGTGTGTGTATGCAGATGTGCAAATCAAAGCAAAGTTTTCGCCAAGTCGATGACATTTTTCTTAATTTTTCGTGCATGGCTTTGTTGCCTTTTTGTGACTTCAGAGGGTCGCTTAAGAAGCCTGCGTTTGAGAGATAAGAGCTCTTCTCGATTTTTTTTAAAAGTCGCATCGAAGCTTGCATTATATGCAAAATTTAATGATTAAGTTAATTCTCATGAGCGACCCTCTGAGTGTTATGTATAATTACTTAACTTTTTGTCTGCCATGCTCAACTTACCGTGACTCGGCCGATGGCTTGCAACCGGGCGCACTTTTCCACAAACGCGCCAGCATTCCCATATACAGAAAACAAATCAGCGTCAATGGAGCCACGTACGATGACAAGAAGAACGATACCTGCAAGATATGAGATAGAGAAAAAATGTTAGAGCTTGAAAGGAAATAATAACCATTATTATTATTTTTTTAAACCCCTTTATTCATCTCAATTAGAAGCACAAGATTTAAGCCCAACTACAACATCTAATTCTCTTTAAAGCTAATGTTTTTTATTTTCCAATTCAATAAGCACCGTAATCCTCCAGCTAATCCATTCTAATGGCTCCTGCGAAAGATTTGCCCAATCCATCTCCATCGTCGTCTTCTGATGGTAATACCAACAGGCTCTTGATTTGTCAATTGCCATAAGCATTAAATATATAAAATTTTATCCGATATAGAGCTGCTAATAACATAGGAATGAAATGCTAGAGTCGGGTTGCATCAAAAAAAAAGAAACATCATCCTACGGCTTTGGAGAATTTGTATATTTTATTCGACTACGGACTGCGTAAGATATACCGATCAATAATATATATATACCTTTGCAGGTCTGCCACGCCTCCTTTTGCATGTTACATAAGTTAAGTTTGCATTTAGCGTGTTTATCCTTTGGGATATTATTTTACTATTTCTAAGATCATTACTATATATTAATGTGGAATCTTGCTATGACAACGGCACAGTAGTCTGACAATGTTAGATGTTATTTTTTGTAGCCCATTATATAGCAATTAATTGCTAAAAATAATGTATAAAGATTTAGTTTCCATTCAAAATATGTGTGTAATTCAATAAAGAATGAACAAACAAAAAACAAAACAAATGAATTATCTTATGCCAACAGATATACTATATGTATATATACATATTTTTCGTTTCGTCAATATTCTTATCTGTGATGCCTAAATATAAATGCTCTTTTTTAAAAGCAAATCTAAATACATAGCCTGGGTGTTGTCAGGTCGTGTACTTCTTAAAATGCCGCAGTCTACCAGAGTTGCCAATCCATCCCATATTGTCTAGTGGTTAGGATACCCGGCTCTCACCCGGGAGGCCCGGGTTCAATTCCCGGTATGGGAAAACACCGAAATTTTGTAAATTTGCAATCTATTTTTTTTAAAATTTAATGAACATTTTTAGAACGGAATGGTGTTAAAATATTAAACCAAAAAATAAAATAGCATCGAACATTCTCATGGAAAGTAACATTGTAACATTGGGGTGTATTGCAAACAGTGTTGTAAAACGCGCATTGAAAGAGAATTTGAAAAGATGAGAAAGATGACTGCCGTGACACACTGAGAAGGTTTAAATCAAGGGTTGGGCGATGTTTCGCAATAAAAAGCCCAGTTTTTTCATCGATTCGCAGCCATGGATAAATGGATGGATCATTTTACACCTGAGCTGAAAAACAGTCAGAACAATGAACTGAAAGGGGAAAATCGACTTCAAGGAAGGTCATGGCCTTAGTTTTAAAAATGTGCTCGTAGCTTACTACCGATATGCGAATTGAACAGTTCCGAGTAAGGATTTGGCCGCAACAATTTTTCGTCGGCCTCTTTTTTTATTTTTGACCTTTAATGTTCGTTCTTGCTTGTCTATTTCGGTCTTTTCTTGTTGCGGATTAGTTGCAAATGTCTTAAATAGATGCTCGCAGTAAAATAAATTTCCAGAATAAAAATGAAATAAAATAGACAACATAAAACAAGCAGCAGCCGAGCGTGAAAAAAGCAACAAAAAATGAAAATCATTTGCTCTTTTCCGCCTCGGGGTCGTCGCCTGCATTGCCATATCAGCCGCTTTCCTTTGTTGTTGTTTTTCAACACTCAATGCCTTTTATTCTCGTCTGGTTTTACGATTTTTTTTCTGCTCGGCTCTTCGAAATGTTTGAAGTGCTGACCCGTAACGGAAGCAGCTGCTGCTTAGCTGTTATTCAAATATATGTACGAGCTTGCAAAAATATATTGCCATACATTTCATGTTTTTGTTTTTTTTTTTTTGGTTTTTTTGGAGGGGGCGCTACAGTCGAGTGCAGGTAGAGTTTTACGGCCTAAGTTTAAGGGATTACTGCTTTCCATCATAAATATAGAGATGGGGATATGAGAAATTTTGCACATATTGTCAAAAGAAACTAACAATATGTAGTCGTATTGCTTGATCGAAATTATAATTGAATATTCCAAATTATTCTGCGTTATTTATGAAATGAAATAATATAATGCCATACATTTATGGTTTTTTTAAATTTTTTTTTTTATTTATTTTTTTTGAGTGCAGGTGGAATACAAAGATGGGGACATGAGAAATTTTACACATATTGTCAAAGATTCTAATAACATGGTCGTATTTCTTGATGAAAATAATATTGAAATATTCAAAATTATTCTGCGATATTTATGATCTGAAACAATATACGTTTCTGTGTGGCATAATTTTTGTACATATGTAGTTATACTTGTATGCCACAAATACGCATACTTTTCAGAGTCTGCTTGACTGATCATTCATATGATAGTTATATTCTATAACACAACTTACAGACTTGATCTGCGATAAAATTAGCAGATCACCTTTAAGAGCTTGCGGGATGCTTATACAATGATAGAGTGAATAGAATGAATGGACATATTTGTAGAAGGGTGGCTGAATGAGAGTGTTGGGAATGAAAAAAAGAAAAGGAGAAAAGAAAAAATAAACATTAAAAAAATTACAAAAGCATCTTGCTAAGAACTTGGTTCATAAAGAGTTCGGCTCCCAATTCTTAAGAACATCTTTTACCGAGTGAAAAACACTCTCTTAGAAGTAAGACAAGTTGTTGTGTCTGGTAAGACAGAAAATGGCTAGAAAATCCCCTAAAAATGACTAGAAATCTCGCTAGAAATTTCGCTATAAATAGCATGAAATTCCACTAAAAAAGGCAAGAAAACTCACTATAACTGATTAGAAACCCAGCTTAATATTATGAAATGGATACAAAACCGCTATAAATAGATAGAAAATGGATAGGAAATCCGCTAATGGCTAGAAAAATTGCTACACAATGGCCATAAAATTAACTAAAAACTGATTTAAATTTCGCCAGCTGGTCTACTTGCTGTTCAATTATGAGCGCTTGCTATTGGTTGCGTCACAGAAAAGGTGTGAAGTTTCACTTCAAAAAAGAAAAGATTGATGTATGAGAATTATAATAACAGTGGAGAGGCATCTTGCTTTGGAGTGTCATTTTCCTTTGAAGAAAACCGTCAAGTTTTCGCAGGGGGAGAACAAGAGACCTCTTTAGAAGCCAGTTTGATTATGATTATCCGTAACTTTTGGAGCACATTAGATTGTTGCGCAAATAGACAGAAGTTCGGTTAATTCTTACCTTTTGTTGTGGCACTTCATGAGCTGTGCTAAGGGAGCTTGTTTTACATTGAAATTAAATTTGGGGTCGTGCTCAATTGTTCAATCAGTCGAGCAGTCGACAGACAGACTCATTTCAAGTGTGTGAAAATTGTCAGGCAGCCAAGTGTAAATGATTGGAAGCAGGCGCCACTAAAGCAGGGAAATGGCTGCGAAAAACACGCTACGAAAACAATAAAATACATGCATGTACATAGGTATGAAAAAGAAAGGAAAATAATAAAAAAAATAAGAGCAACTCATCAGCGGAAAACTTCATGCAATGTGTGGGAAAATAAAATTGGCCAGTTCGCCAGTTGAAGTGTGGGGAAGGAGGGAGGGGGAGGAGGGAAGTGCCGTCCGGTCGGCCTGGATTGAAAACGCAGCTGGCATCGCACAAACAAATTTTAAGCCTCAAGCTTACAACGGCAATGGAATGTTGAGCAGCAGCACACACACACACACATGTAAATACATAAATATAAATGTACTTGTATGTACGAGAGAGTATATATGTGTATGTGTATGTGCCCATATATCAGTGGGAGGTGTAATGAAACGGAAAACGAACTCAAAAAACCACGCAAATGAAATCGCACATGGCACAATTATTAATAATCGTTTGCAGCACAGGTTGGCGCCCTCAAAAGCTACCCCCATCCCCCCATACTGCCCGAAGCCCCCCACACACACACACAAGGGCGTAGGCAGGGGGCAGAAAAAATTTTGCCATATAAAGTCGACCACACGTTCATCATTAGGACGCAATATTTCGCTTTAAAATGGATCTGAGTTGGATTTGTTGAAGTTTTTTCATTGATCATATGCATAAGTTATTTTTGAAATGCATCGTTTTTTATTTAATTAAAATTTTAATTTTTTTTTTTTAATTGTATAAAACTAAGCACATTTTGTTTTTCGATATCAAGCAAAATTGTTTATTGTTTATGAATGGCAATTATTTCCTAAAAATTGATGATATATCATAGTTTTAAAAAAAAACACACAAGTTGAAACAATGAATGAAAGAAAAAGAAGCCAGAAAAAAAGGGGGATAAAAGCTGCCTACGCCCTTGCACACACACACTCACACACACACACTTGCACTTTAGCGCATTCATTTATGCGGCAAAATGCCTGACAGCGGCGGAATCGAAATCACTTTGGTTGGATTACGCCCCATGGCCAATGAACATGTCGTTTGCTATCGATGACTTATACGACGACTCTGACATAATCCTGCCTGACACTTTGCACAAACATAATTGTACATTTATGCTTTTGGGTGTAAACATTGGCATTCAGTCGAATGAGATCAAGACACCATTATTCATTATTCTCGACTTCCAATTTTTGTAGCCATTTATAAAACTAATTTTCAAATCCAAATGCATTTAATATTTTAATATTACAGCCACGTTCAGTATGACCACACGAATCGTTATAGACTGTCCGACTGTCTGTCCGTCTGCCTGTCCGTCTGTCTGTCTGTCCGTTTGTCTGTCTGTCTGTCCGTCTATCTGTCCCTTCGTATGAACACCGACAACTTTTTAACCATACCAGCTAGGGACACCAAACGTAACCAAAATCGTTTGAGTATAGAAAGTCTCAGCACCTACCTCCATGTAGAAAACTAATTTTAAAATTCAAAGCCAATAAATACTAACATAAATTTTGGAATTTGTTCATTAACA